GGTATTCCAAATCGGGGTTTTAGCCGCATTCGATTTACAGCACGGCACACAACAGTTCTAACGATTGCGTGCCTCGCAATTCACGTAAATGCCTAGACTGATGAAGTGGCGCTGGAGAACGATAGATAATCTAGGCTACTCCCACGAGCGTCAAGAAACGCTGTAGAGTGACAAGAGTCCAGCTAGTTTGGTTGCGTTCAGTACTTGAAGCGTGTGACATCGGAAACAATTTTTCTGTTGCATCTTCAATTTTCGTCGAGGGCGCAAACCCGAAGCGTTAGTTTATGGTCGGTGTTTGGGTGGAGAGTGAGAGACACTGCATGAAGACTGCGGAAGTTTCTGGGTAAAGTTGCTCGACTTCGCCATTACCATCAGTGCTGTGAGCCGAGACGACATCGCTAGAGGGTTCGAAGGCTGGCCAGAATAAATGACCACATATTACGACTTCGATGGGGGGCACGACTCAATAGCCAAAAGTACTGGTAGTCTTGTTTCACTTCGGATATTGTGACGGTTAACCCACTCCTGGGTTCCCAAGTTATAAAACAATATATCAAAGCCTTGGAAAAGGTATGTTTAAGCATCTGATATTAACAGTGTTTGACCTTAAGCGCGGCCCGTCCAGACATCGAGAAAGAGAATGGAATACGTAGTTCTTTCTTACTTACAAGAAAGAAAGTGGAGGCCAAATACTATCTGGACTGTTCAACGTCATTTTCTATGCTGGGCCATTTATATAATCTCAAACGATGTAATTGTAACATTATCTCACTTTGAAAATAACGGTCTGTTTAGCTCTCCTACTTATGATAGCATACCAAGAAAAATAATCCTTTTCAGGGATTCACAGGAAACAGAAGGAAGAAAAACAGTGCTTTCCCCGTGTCAAGAAGCTGTAATTCAAGCGAGCAAAAAACAAAGATCAATTAATACGCTAGAACACATTAGGCACAGATGAGCGCGATGTATTTTTATGCATGTAAATTTTATTTTTATTTATCATTTACACAGCTCGGTTCTGCAGCAAGTGTTTGTTTAGAGTTAACCAAGAGATCTAGGATTTTATCTTAATACCAAGCGGCATGGAGTCTAAATATTGCAGTGTTTATATCCTTCGACCTGAATATGACTGCTTCTGTTTTCTTGTTGTTTATAATTTTATACGAATAAATTAAGCTCCATCCCCATATTGTTTTGATAAATAAATTGCCCGTCATAAAACTTTCAGAAATGTTGGTCATAATAAAATATGGTGTTGCCATCTGCATAACCTGACATACTTGCTTTGTTGTCAATGTTAACTGAGTCGTTTATAGTCAGCAAACAACGGCTTTAGACTTATATGTAACTGGTTCCCTTTATGAGTGCCTTACCATGAAATGCTGCACAAGGAGGCTTCCCGAAGGCTTTCAGTTGACGGCACATTGTGATATCGGAGATATGGGTTTCGTGGCATACTTGATTTGCAACATGGCACGCTACACTGTTTAGAAATGCGTGTTCAATAATTTCCATAAAAACTAAGCAACTGTTAAAATTACTGCATAAAACGACCGACAAATCAGGCTACTCACACGAGCTCTGACAAACGCGGGGGAGCGGTAGAAACGCCTTTGTTTTGGCCACGTTCAACGCTTCCTCTACAGTTGCGGCGTTAGCGCTTTTTGCAGTAATGCAGCGCCTCCATTATATATCACACCAGATGAAAGAACTTTAACACTTCATGACCGCTCTTTTGTACGCGGGAGAAATCGGCATGTCGCTCTTGGGGAGCAGGAGAGGGGAACGAGGGTGGTTTATACGGTATTGTCCCTTATGGATTACATTCCATTTTTCACACCATTTGTGTGTGCATTCGGAAGAATCAGAGAATATATTTTAACTGTCTTAGAAGTTGATTAGTCCCGTATTTAGGGTGATAAAAAGTACATTATAATTTAGAGCCCTAGATTCTAACACTATTTGAGAGCATTTAAAATCTAAATCAAATTTAAGAGAGTAGGAAATTACACCATGTGTTTGACTCCATTGTTACATGATTAAGGGCGTTAGCTATATTAAAAAACAAATACTCCAAGAAAAGATAGAAGTTTTATTTTTTTCACGGTAAGGGTGTCGTCCCTAGTGCCGTCGTGGTGACGTCTCCGGAGTCTATTTCGATCGCTGGACAAGCTAGTAAAGCCGGACGGACCAACATGCGCAAAAAAGAGGTACGGAGAGACCTTCTCCCTTTTCCGCGGTGTACTGCTCTATGAGATACGTTCCGAGCGTGGAACAGCAAGCGGACACTGAGCTGACGTTCGTTGCGGCCACCAGATACAAAATGACGAAGCTTCTTCCCCGACACAAATAGCTTAAAAGGGCGCGTGAGCTCTTTGAAGATCACGTGCTTTTCAGGATAGATCGTGACAAATTACCAGGCCGCTTAGGAAACTATGACGACATTTCGGGCAGATTAGATGTAATTGAAGGGTACGTTCAGATGTCTGGAAAATCTTGCTCGGCCCCACATACTCTTTTTCATAGGGCCTGTAGTCACTTGTCTCCTCTTGTTCTTTTGGGTGGCTCGAAGACCTCACGGCACGGTACGTGCGGACGTGCCTACTGCTGCAGGAGTTGGACCTTGCAATACCTTACAAGTAAGGCCGGAAACACTACCACGCCGACTGTCTGTCACAGGCTGCTGCGGAGTTGTTCACGATGGACACAGACGGCGTGTTATCCTCGGAGCACATGACACCACAGATATGGCCGTTCGGCAGCGGCGCGACAGGGAACTCCACTAGCTAATAGCGCTCTTGGCAGGAAAAGAAAACGGTGATCTCCAAAGTTTTTGCCAGAGTACAAGAAGAAGTTTGAGGCTTGATAGCGGCCGTGGATGATGGTTGTGCCGAAGGACTTACGTGAACGATTCTTCGAGGCTTGCCACGACGATCCCGCCGCCGGACATCTTGAAAAATTGCACGTATTCGCGAGAAGTACTGTTGGCCGAGGCTCCGAAATTCTGTTATTACACGTGGACATATCAAGAATGCTAATTTCAAAAGGCGCCACCGAGGTAACATGAAAAAACTTCAGCCTATTGTAGCGTCAGCAAAAACCGTTTCAGCAGATCGGCATAAATTTGCTCAGTTTGTTTCATACATCGACGTTCATTAACCGGTGAGTTATCGTCGGCACAGGTTATCTGACGTGATACGTAGATACTACGGCCATCCAGTTGTTTAATGTTGTAGATGCTGCGAAGTTTATTTTCGAGTGTAATATTCTCCGGCAAGGCGCCCGAAAAGACCCGATCACCGACGGCTGGTTCGCTTTTATAGCTTGTATAACGTCAGTTCCTTCCTTTAAGTAACACCAGCCATCCCAGGACAGCTGCATACAATCCGCACATTAACAAAATGACTGATAGACCTAATAAGGCCATCCCTAACTTGATTTTCATGTACAAAACTGTAAAGCAGAAAGTGTGCGATTAAGTGCTGCACTATGGTACCTTCGCGTATAAGGTTGAGGTTCACGAGGCAAGTGGGAGCGCGCCGTTCCAGCTAATACACGGCAGGTGCGTTTTCAAGACGTTCGACATCATTCATCAGAATACAATTGACAATGGCAGCGACTAGAACAACGACGGCGCTCTATTTATATATCAAATTGCCAAGGATGCTCGTCAGCTTGCAAGTGTCATGTTTTGAGGCCATTAGCAACTCGACGCACACCGCAATACCCTTCGACGTAGCGTCTTAAACTTTCAGCCAGGACACCAGGTTTCAGTTTGAAATTTATACGGCATCGCGGAATAAAAAAAAAGCATCAAAGACAAAACCTTTTATTTATTCATTTATTCAGATACCTACAGCGCCATGGGGCATTACAGTAGGGGGGGGGGGGGAGAAGTTGGAAATGAAGAACACGAATAGTTATACAAAAGTTAAAAGAGCAGTATTCACAAGCCATAAATCTTTCAGTATCACAACAAAGTGCAGGCTACATAAAAAATAAAAATGCGGTCTACTAAACACTCCGAACGTTGCTCAACTACTAACTAGACACTACGAGGTTAGTGTTGAATAAAAAATATCGTTAGGAACAATGTTGACCACCGAGGCTGACAAACCGTTCCAATCCCGTATTGTTTTAGGAAAAAAAGATTTCATATAGACGTCACTTTTACAGCGGAATTCCTTGACCTTATACACATGATCCTTTCGTTGTCATATGTAATCTGGCGGGTGAAGGTAGGCATTTCTATCTATCCCAGTCCTACAGTGAAATATGTTATTAAAAAATTTCAGTCGAAGGTTCTTCCGTCTAAAGCTTAACTCCTTCCATCCTAGGCTCTGTTTCGCACGAGTCATACTAAGTCGCCTGTCGTAATTGTTTAAAACAAAACGGGCAGCCCGGTTTTGTACTTTTCCAAGTTTGATTATCTGGACAGCAGTGTGAGCATCCCATATAGTGCAGGCATATTCTAAAATTGAGCGGACATGCGAAAAATAAAGTCTCTCTTTCAAGGAACGTGGTACAGGCTTAAAGTTACGAGCGAGAAAGCCAACCTTGAATCATAAAAGGTTCTTCGTCACATACGCACACCGTTCCATTATACCGATGACTCCATTGAGCTTTTTAAAGAAAGATCGACGTGTAAGTAACTCTTTTGAGAGTTTTGCATTGATGTGCAGATGCGCTTTCATGAGAACGGCGGCGGTGCCCGAAACCTTGAGACTACAAAACCAGAATTGATGTTCGTGAAGACGAGTGTAACACTGAAATTCATAACCAAAATTATGATTGAACTGCAGGTCTTAAGTGTTAATGGGGGAGGTGACTGAACACAAGGTTATTTCTTTTTGTCATGTGAGATTTGTGTAAAGCAATCACAAATAATAAACAAAAATCTCTAGAGTTGAATTGCTATAGGTTTTTAGCAATATTTGGAACACAAGTTGACTCCGTCAGTCTGTCCACGGATTCATGGGTACCGTCCAGCAGCTGTCCTTTTATTTAGGGCATGACTTCAGAGTTAACCAGTTTTGAAAATTGAAGTGGACACGGCTGCATGTTCCGCCGCAGCATTCCTATAAAAAAAGAAAAAAAAAGAAAGAAAAAAGTGAGTTCAATATTGTAATGTATACGAGTTTTCCACCGAATATGAAGACCCTGTCGTTATGGAAAAATACCAATAGTAAGTGAAAATACCAACTATTTCTGTTTTTATTGTTGTTTACTCAAAATTTGAGTGGTTACAACAGTTACTTATTAACGCGCTGAAGGAACTATGGATCATGTTTTTATTGAATGTTTGCAAATTTGTATTCTTTAAAACCGTGACTACTACATTAGTGAGGTCCATGCGGGAGAGGTAAACGGCCATGCGTATAAAATATATGGGCTAGTCGTCACGATAAGTCGCTCACCTGAAATTGCGAATTAGCTTTTAAATTATTTAACGTAATCGTGTACATAGTACCAATGAGAAACGTGCCGAGCGTCATCGAGAGCCACTAAATACAAAAAAAAAAAACTTAAAATATTTTTCGCGCGCGGAAATTAGCTTTCATTCGTGGAGCATGTCCAATGCTTTAAATTCGAAAACGTGAGTGATTCGAAGTATTATTCGCGATCTCTATAACTTGATTGATAACATAGTTTTTTACAGCGCTCCAAACCGTTTTTGTCAGAACCATGTGTTCATTTTACTAATAAAACGTTACATACCGCAATTGTAAATTAATTGACTTATCTTAAATTACTTGGCAAACTTAAGTACGCTTCTGCGGTATGCGATTGAAGCCTCGGCTTTCTTAGTAATAACCTAGAATCATCTCAAAATCACAGTGTGCGTTTCATTTTGTCTTACTCCGATCGTGGATCAAAGGTGGCATTAATGAAAGCTACTTTAAACCTTCATCCTCTCGCTCTACGCAGAAAAGTTTCTAGATTACCCCTTTTTCATAGGATTTATCAAAAATTATAGACTGAAAAGTGAGCTGCTTTTGGAGCCGCCATACTGATCATCCCACGTGGAGCATAGTCATGAGTTGTCTCTCGCTGTCGTACAAACATGTACTTTTTCTCTTTTTTTCCTAAAACAAGCAACGAATGGAAACACCTCCATACCTCAATCGCCACAATAACAGATCCACTGAGTTTTATATATGCTTTCGAAACATATCTTGTCTTATTAATCCGCTTTTTTATTTTGTTGTACTGCATATATCGCGTTTTTATTTGTTTTATTTCTATTACCACTCATTTCCTTAACGAATTGGGGCCTTTAAGGTATTGGACCTGGCAGCAGCGCAGCATTGAAGCGAAGTGCTTAACCCCTGCTACGCCATCTCACAGGGTACCTATCCTCAAACCCTGCTCTAGTGAGTCAGCGATACGTGCCGTGCCGTGTGACACCGCTATCAACAAGGGCCAACGGGACTGCGATTGGCGGACCACTGTCTGACACCAGGCGACCAAGTCTTGATGGAACCGACACCAATCACCGTCCGATCACTTGGCAGCAGCGCGGCATTGAAGCGACGTGCTTAACCCCTACTACGACATCTTACAGGATACCTATCATCAAACCCTGCTCTACTGAGTCAGCGATACGTGCCGTGGCGTGTGACACCCGCTATCAACAAGGGCCAACGGGACTGCAATTGGCGGACCACTCTCTGACACCAGGCGACCAAGCCTTCCTGGAACCGACACCTATCACCGTCCGGTCACTTGGCAGCAGCGCGACATTGAAGCCACGTGCTTAACCCCTACTACGGCATCTTACAGTATACCTATCATCAAACCCTGCTCTACTGAGTCAGCGATACGTGCCGTGCCGTGTGACACCCGCTATCAACAAGGGCCATCGTGACTGCGATTGGCGGACCACTGTCTGACACCAGGGGACCAAGCCTTGCTGGAACCGTCACCTATCACCGTCATATCACTTGGCAGCAGCGCGGCATTGAAGCGACGTGCTTAACCCCTGCTACGCTATCTTACAGGATACCTATCATCAAACCCTGCTCTCGTGAGCCAGCGATACGTGCCGTGCCGTGAGACACCGCTATCAACAAGGACCAACGGGACTGCGATTGGCGGATCACTGCCGGACACCAGGGGACCAAGCCTTGCTGGAACGACACCTATCACCGTCCGGTCACTTGGCAGCAGCGCGGCATTGATGCGACGTGCTTAACCCCTGCTCTTACAGAATACCTATCATCAAACCCTGCTCAAGTGAGCCAGCGATACGTGCCGTGCCGTGTGACACCGCTATCAACAAGGACCAACGGGACTGCGATTGGCGGACCACTGTCTGACACCAGGGGACCAAGCTTTGCTGGAACCGACACCTATCACCGTCCGGCCACTTGGCAGCTGCGCGGCATTGAAGCGACGTGCTTAGCCACTACTACGCCATCTTACAGGGTACCTATCCTCAAACCCTGCTCTAGTGAGTCAGCGATACGTGCCGTACCGCGTGACACCCGCTATCAACAAGGGCCAACCGGACTGCGATTGGCGGACCACTGTCTGACACCAGGTGGCCAAGCCTTGCTGGAACCGACACCTATCACCGTCCGGTCAAATGGCAGCTGCGCGGCATTGAAGCGACGTGCTTAACCCCTGCTACGCCATCTTACAGGATACCTATCATCGAACCCTGCTCTAATGAGTCAGCGATACGTGCCGTACCGTGTGACACCCGCTATCAACAAGGGCCTACCGGACTGGGATTGGCGGACCACTGTCTGACACCAGGCGGCCAAGCCTTGCTGGAACCGACACCTATCACCGTCCGGTCACTTGGCCGCTGCGCGGCATTGAAGCGACGTGCTTAACCCCTGCTACGCCATCTTACAGGATACCTATCATCAAACCCTGCTCTAGTGAGTCAGCGATACGTGCCGTGCCGTGTGACACCACTATCAACAAGGACCAGCGGGACTGCGATTGCCGGACCACTGTCTGACACCAGGGGACCAAGCCTTGCTGGAACCGACACCTATCACCGTCCGGTCACTTGGCAGCACCGCGGCATTGAAGCGACGTGGTTAACACCTACTACACCATTTTACAGGATACCTATCATCGAACCCTGCTCTAGTGAGTCAGCGATACGTGCCGTACCGTGTGACACCCGCTATCAACAAGGGCCAACCGGACTGCGATTGGCGGACCACTGTCTGACACCAGGCGGCCAAGCCTTGCTGGAACCGACACCGATCACCGTCCGGTCACTTGGCAGCACCACGGCATTGAAGCGATGTGGTTAACCCCTACTACACCATTTTACAGGATACCTATCATCGAACCCTGCTCTAGTGAGTCAGCGATACGTGCCCTGCCGTGTGACAGCGCTATCAACAAGGGCCAACGGGACTGGGATTGGCGGACCACTGTCTGACACCAGGGGACCAAGCCTTGCTGGAACCGACACCTATCACCGTCCGGTCAATTGGCAGAAGAGCGGCATTGAAGCGACGTGCTTAACCCGTGCTATGCCATCTTACAGGATACCTATCATCAAACCCTGCTCTAGTGAGCTAGCGATACATGCCGTGCCGTGTGACACCGCTATCAACAAGGGCCAACGGGACTGTGATTGGCGGACCACTGTCTAACACCAGGGGACCAAGCCCTGCTGGAACCGACACCTATCACCGTCCGGTCAATTGGCAGAAGCGCGGCATTGAAGCGACGTGCTTAACCCCTGCTACGCCATCTTACAGGATACCTATCATCAAACCCTGCTATAGTGAGCCAGCGATACGTGCCGTGCCGTGTGACACCGCTATCAACAAGGGCCAACGGGACTGCGATTGCCAGACCACTGTTTGACACCAGGGGACCAAGCCTTGTTCGATTCGTCGCCTATAACCGTCCGGTCACTTGGCAGCAGCGCGGCATTGAAGCGACGTTCTTAACCCCTGCTACGCCATCTTACAGGATACCTATCATCGAAGCCTGCTTTAGTGTGTCAATGATTCGTGCCATGCCGTGTGACACTGCTATCAACAAGGACCAACGGGACTGCGATGGGCGGACCACTGTCTGACTCCATGGGACCAAGCCTTGCTGGAACCGACACCTATCACCGTCCGGTCACTTGGCGGAAGCGCGGCATTGAAGCGACGTGGATAACCCTTGCTACGCCATCTTACAGGACACCTATCATCAAACCCTGCTCTAGTGAGCCAGCTTTACATGCCATGCCGTGTGACACCGCTATCAACAAGGGCCAACTTGACTGTGATTGGCGGACCACTGTCTGACACCAGGGGACCAAGCCTTGCTGGAACCGACACCTATCACCGTCCGGTCACTTGGCAGCAGCGCGGCATTGAAGCGACGTGCTTAACCCCTACTACGCCATCTTACAGGGTACCTATCCTCAAACCCTGCTCTAGTGAGCCAGCGATACGTGCCGTGCCGTGTGACACCGCCATCAACAAAGACCAACGGGACTGCGATTGGCGGATCACTGTCTGACACCAGGGGACCAGGCCTTGCTGGAACGACACCTATCACCGTCCGGTCACTTGGCAGCAGCGCGGCATTGAAGCGACGTGCTTAACCCCTGCTAGGCCATCTTACAGGATACCTATTATCGAACCCTGCTCTAGTGAGTCAGCGATACGTGCCCTGCCGTGTGACACCGCTACCAACAAGGGCCAACGGGACTGTGATTGGCGGACCACTGTCTGACACCAGGGGACCAAGCCTTGCTCGATCCGTCGCCTATAACCGTCCGGTCACTTGGCAGCAGAGCGGCATTGAAGCGACGTGCTTAACCCCTGCTGCGCCATCTTACAGGGTACCTATCATCGAACCCTGCTCTACTAAGTCAGCGATACGTGCCGTGCCGTGTGACACCGCTATAAACAAGGGCCAACGGGACTGCGATTGGCGGACCACTGTCTGACACCAGGGGACCAAGCCTTGCTCGATCCGTCACCTATAACCGTCCGGTCACTTGGCAGCAGCGCGGCATTGAAGCGACGTGCTTAACCAATGCTACGCCATCTTACAGGATGTCTATCCTCAAACCCTGCTGTAGTGAGCCAGCAATACGTGC